AATATTTGTAGGATTAGTATTTCAAATTGTATTTGAGTTTCAGTTTCTTAAGTCTGGTACTGCTGTCTCACGCCAGTAATCCTAGCTATTCAGAAGTCTGAGATCTGGGGAATCACAGTTTTAAGCCAACCAGGACAGGAAGGTCTGTGAGACTCTTATCTCCAATTAACCACCAGAAAACCAGAAGTGGAGCTGGGCCTCAAAGTGGTAGAGCACTAGCATTGAGCAAAATTGCTCAGGGGCAATGTCCAGGCCCTGAGTTTAAGCTCTATGACTAACAAAAACAGCCAAAAATTCAATTTCATCATTAGTTTCTTCTAGTTCTTGGGGACTAAAAGTTTACTTACTCAATGGGAATAATAAAAACTATTTCAAGATTGGTTAAGGAAAATGTCTCTGCATCCACTCAGCCCCATTTTACCACATTGAAGATCCACAATAACTTAATAGTTAAGCAGTTGCTGGCACCAGTCACCTATTAGCCCTTTACAAGAAGGGCTGACATAAAAAGCAATGTCCAGGGCTGGGAAGGTGGCTCAGTGGTAGAGTGCTTGCCTTGCAAGCCAGAGGCCTTAGTTCGATTCCTCAGCACCACATAAGCAAAAAGAAAAAAGCTGGAAATGGCGCTGTAGCTCAAGTGGTAGAGCGCTAGCCTTGAGCTGAAGAGCTGAGGGACAGCACCCAGGCCAAGTTCAGGCCCCACGACCGGACCCAAAAAAAAAAAAAAAAGAAGAAAAAGAAAAAAAAAGAAGCAATGTCCAGAAAAGCTCCCAAAAACAGAGTAACAGGCCTGTCTCAGTGTATTTGCTGCTGTTAAACAATTAGTAAGACAAACATCAGGAAAACATATATTAGGAAGGATAGAATATGTTAAATATTCTTGTTACTGTTAGGAGGATTGGAGTAGTTTGGGATCAGAGGTACAGTATTGGGAGAAAGTAAAATAAATTTTCTTGTTTTCAACTACTGGTAATCCATTTTCAGTCCATGTAATATTTTCAAATTTCTTCCCAGAACTTTTAGGTTCTAAAAGGTCTTAAACACTTTAGGGAGAGAAGCATGGTGGTATCCCCAGCTCCAGTGAGGCTGAGGCAGAGGGATCTCAAGTTCAAGACTAGAATATATATATATCATATATCATAGACAGATAGATATAGATATAGATAATAGATATGACCTTGTTTGGTCTCAACAACAAACCCCTGAATCCTTCAGAGGCTGTTTCTTCTTTGATTTTCTAAACTCTCAATAGAGAATTAATTAATTCTCCAAAGTATTCAACATAAAAGATGAAAGTATAAATAGATATTATTGTCAAACTAAAAGCCATCGTAGAGACTTGGGGAACCAAAAATATGAGCATAAACAACCAGTATCACACACAATCTTACTACTCAGAGTAACTTACTATTCAGAGAGTAACATGAGGCCTGAATAAACCTCCAAGTTAGATTGCTGTTAAACAACCCTCCAGTTCTTTTGATCAAAATCTGTACCTTGCAGAGGGGAGAAGTAAGAACTTACATACCTCTCTACAAAGACATATAAATTACTTATTTGTCTTTAGATGCTGGCATCATGAATAGCCTCTCTGTTATGTATTTTGTATATCCTAAATTCTACTTAATATTTACCAAAATATACATTTGTTATATACAAAATATACTTTTTTCTCAGATAGATTTTTACTCTTCTTCTTCTTATTTTTATTATTCTTTTTATAAGTTGTTCATTATTAAATAAATTCCCCCTTTGCTATTAATATACTGAAGTTTTATTGTCCTTAACAACATTCTAATTAGCTCTTATTTGTGTATGAAAGTCTCTTGATTTTCATATTTTAATTTGATAGCCTATTATTTTACTGATAGTTTATGTAGTAGATGTTAGTGCTACATTGATTGTCTCTTGAATTTTTCCAGATAATATAATACAATCTATAAACAGAAAGGATTTTATTTCTATTCTAATTCTTACAACTTTTTTGTTATTATTCTGGTATGATTGAACTGACTCCAGTATATTGTTTAATGGCTATTAGTTATTGCCTGGTTCTTTGTCCTTTGTCTTTCTGAGAATGTCGTTAGTACTCTTCACAGATAAAACAGTTCTAGATAAATGAGTGCTCTCTTTCTCTCTATCTCTGTCGTGCTTTATACTAACATCACAGAAGACCATTTGTTTAGGGTCCTATTCAAGAATGGTTGTCAAATTAAGTTGAAGAACATTTTAGCATCAATGAAGGTGACATTTTTACAATTTGCAAACATAGTATTAGATTACCTAACATGGAACAATTCTTTTTACTTATTTTTTTATTTTATTTTTTGTCTGTCGTGGGGCCTGAACTCTGGGCCTGGGCACTGTCCCTCAGCTCTTCAGCTCAAGGCTAACACTCTACCACTTGATCCACAGCACCACTTCTGGCTTTTTCTGCTTATGTGATACTGAGGAATCGAACCCAGGGCCTCATGCATGCAAAACAAGCCCTCTACCACTGAGCCACCTGCCCAGCCCCGAACAATTCTTATATTTATAGAATAAATACTATGTGACCATGATGTTTTATTTTTATCATGAACTTTAGATTCTTTTTGCTAATTTAGAGTTTGCTTTTATATTCATCAATGAGAGTGACCTGGTTTATTGCTCTTTGATTCTTGTTTCATTTAAAAATCTATGTCATGGTTTTTCTTCTCGATAGTCAGAAACAACTTAAGTAGCATTGGGAGCACATGATCTCTCAAAGTTTAGGAGAAGTTCCTTGGAACTTGGGATTCAGTCCTTTAAAAATAACATTATTCTTAATCTAGAAAACAAGAAACTTTTGTGTGATTTTACAAAGTAGAATGTTGCTGATCTATGACAGTTCCACCTTTCTTAGAGCAAAGCTGTCTAACCTCTAGGTGTAGTTCACCGATAATCTTCCCATCCCTCCCCCACCCCAAGAGAAGAGTCCTTCTCTCTTGTGTCTGTTTGTTTGTGCTTCAGTTGCATGTGTTACATAGAAAACCCTGTCCCTTACACTTCTCTCCAGGGGAAAAAAACTGCTTTTGAGTTCTTACAGAAATTCCTAGAATGAGACATAGCCCTGTCACCAGTGGGTCACAGCACAGGACCCAGTCTATTGAAAGCATTTCCTCCCAAAAGTGTCTGTAGGGGTGAATTTCCCCAGTTTAAGTGAAGAGCTCCAAATCCAGGACTGTGTTGTATCTTTGAGCTCTTTACACACACACACACACACACACACACGCTCACCCTAGTTGAGGGAAATGTACATCAGCATGATGTAGGTGTAAAGAGTGCAAACTATTCACTGCATCTTACACAACAGCATGCTGGATTTTGAGCAAACAACTGAATTGTCCTCATACCTGGGCTTTCTTCCCAGTTCTTGTGCCATTTCCCCAGATAGCTAATTAATTAAATGGCCTTTGGCCATGACTCTCCTTTGAGTCAGCTTTTCTCTCACTTAAATGGCAGAGATGGGGGGGCTCAGATGAGCACATTTGCTGAGCACATTGTGTACCTTCCATAAAATTTGTGGAGTCTTTGCGTTATCTTCAGATGAAGGTCACTTTTGCTTTTACTATTAATTTGTGAGTGTGTTTGCAATTTTTGTGCTGATGTATTGGCACTATGCAAAGACTTAACCTGTAAACTGCAGGGTGTACCAGGAAAATTCAGATTTTTACCAGTTCACCAGTTTGAACTATTGGATTATTGGTTTAATGTTCTTAAGATGATGATGATTCTACACAGAAAGCTCTGGAGTTTTAAAATAGAACCATGGAAACCATTAGATAGTTCTGCTGCAAGGAGTGTGCATATGTGTGTGTTTTGTGTGTTGTATAAGCCCAGACTAAATATAGACCCTATATTCTTTGTGTAAGCTACTTAAAGGAGAGGATATTATCTTTTAATTTTTTATCCTATCAGCCAAAGTTGTTATTTCTCATCCCATTCCAAAGTTATGTATAAATTATGACTAGTTAAAAAAATATTAAAAAATAGATGGAGAGAGGAAATATGGGTGAATGTAGTCACCATATTCAATGTATATATGTGTATATGTATATATATGAATGTGTATATGTATATATATGAAGATGCATATATTCAATGTATATATATATAACTACACACTGGCATGTTGAACTGAAACTCCCTTTTACAATCACTTAAATATAATAAAAATAAATAAATGTAAAAATGAGCTTCTTACATAATTATTTTTCCTGAAAGGATGCTTTTCTTGACCTAGAAAAGATTTCTTAGCTGCCGGACATCCTCCACATTTCTTCCTGGTGCTGAGTGATGGCAGAGAACAGGACAGACTTGAGGAAATCCACATCGTGTTGATAGTTTACCAAATTAGTGTAGCACTAACTTGTACTCATGACTTAATTTTTAAGGAAAAAAAAATCTGATTTTTTCAGTGTCATCCACTTAAGCCCGGTTGTTTACAGGCCCAAACTCTGTGTGAATTTACACAGCTGCTTTCAGGCTCTGAGTATTTCCTTGTGTTAGGCTCTCTGACTTTTTTTTTAAAGAGTATTTTTACACTGAAGTAAAACACAAGTATTAACTTTAGCCTGGGGGGAAAAGAAAGAAACTGAACACCCTACAGCTGAGTATGCTTCAATGCTTTCTTTTTAAAATCTTGCCCATCCTTTAGAAGTTGCAGAAGTTAAAAAAAAAAAAAAAGCCACCCCCTGAAAACAAAACAAAAGACAGAGGACAAACTGTCAACATTTCAGAAACAGAGAGCAGGTGCTAAGAGACCCTGCTAAGAAACCCTGTCCATGAGTTTCAGGATTCTTTCCTGAGCCCAACACCTCTACAGTGCCACTCTTACCACGAGGTGCAGAAACTACAATCACACGTCTTCTGAAAGGAATCCAGCCCAAAGCGAAAGCAAAATGTTTCCTTTCAAACACACTCATTTGCACTAGGCTAGGTGGAGAGACAGGCCATGTCAAGAAAGAAATTCTCTTTACCTTGCTTGGAGCCACTGTGACTCGGAGGGCCATGTACACGCCCTACGTCGAGGAAGTGTTGAAAGCCGCCCTGGTTCTCTGGATGACATCTAGAATAAGAGACAGTTGTCACCAGGAGCTTTTCAATTACTCCTGGAGACGAAGTGTGAGACGCAGTCGAGCAGGATGATTGGATTACACGAAACGAGACAGGAGCCATCTGTGCGCCACGCGTAAGCCTCTGACTGCCAAAATGAACATCCCTATTAGGCGACTGAGTTCCATCTTGTTTGTAGTTTGGTCAGATTTTGAAAGATGAGCTGAGTGGTTTAAGATAGTGCCACAAATAGGCACCGTATGAGCGACTACAGCCTCTTACTTCACCTACAAACATGATTTTTCAGTTAGGAGGCTTTAAGATGTCCCCAATGGATGTGATTGTTGGTCATGCTGGACCCTTGCTGGTCCCCTCTGTTTCATTTGCCAAGGTCACATACTGCTAGAAAAAGAAATCACTAGTATCTTTCAGGCTATAGCAAAAATAGAATAATCTGACTTTCTTTTGGGAAGCTCCTGTGCTCTAAAATAATGGCCAATATGGTCACTGGAAACCTTGCATAATGTGCCAGGAGGCAAGAAAGGAACTCTCTGAGCTCCAGAGCCAAATCTTCCATTCATCACCCATCATCCCCTCATCATTTGATTGGCACCAACTTTAGCTGGGATTGAATCATGTTCTGCAATCCTTTTCCCTTTACCCCATGAAGAGCAGACCTTCCTTGCATTGAGCAATGTAAAAGCACAAGTCTGATAAAGGTAGAGTGTGGTCTTGGCCAGCCCAGGACAGAATATTTTTCATCTGTGTTACCATATTAATTAATGCATATTAATAACTATTAATAACACTATTGATGCTCTTAATATGCTTCAGACACTTCCTCCAGGAAGTGTTTGACAGTTCCCTGATTCTATTGGGCTGTTACAAATAAACACTGTCTGTCTACCAATAACACTATAACATTGTGGGACCTCAGTATGTTTTGATTGACTATCCTGTTCTCATGCCTTGCCTTGTAGATACATCAACAGGCCATCATATTCCCTAAAGAGGCAGATGAAACTACAGAAGCCAGAGCCCAGGGCATAGCGGAGACTTGCCTTAACCTGCTCTGCTTCCAACATATTCAAAACATGGTGTGAACATTCAGACTCCATCTGAATTACTGAGTAAAATAGACACCACTAAAAAGCATATACTTCATACTGCACCTTGGAAACCAACACTAATTTATTCTACTTATTTACTGGACAACATTTTAAGAAGTGCTGATTTTACTGATTCTCTCTAACCGCTTTATCTCTTTGGGGCCTCACATCTGTTGCTCACTGCTTTTCTGAAATTAAAAATACTCAGGGCTGGGAATGTGGCTCAGTGGTAGAGTGCTTGCCTAGCATGCATAAAGCCCTGGGTTCAATTTCTCAGTACCACATAAAGAGAAAATGCAGGAAGTGATTCTGTGGCTCAAGTGGTAGAGTGCTAGCCTTGAGCAAAAAAGAAGCTCAGGGACAGTGCCTACACTCTGAGCTCTAACCCCAGGATTGACAAAAACAAAAAACAAAACAAAACAACTTTGGATAACACCAAATCATTAAAAAATATTTTAGGTGGGCAGAACTAACAAAGTTGGGGTAACTCTTTTCCTGTTCCCATTCTAATGTAATCTCCTTTAGTTAAGCCTATGTTAAAGAGAAGTTACACATACACACATAAGTACTTTTTTTTTTTTTGGTCGGTCATGGGGCCTGAACTCTGGGCCTGGACACTGTCCCTCAGCATTTCAGCTCAAGGCTAGCACTTTACCACTTGAGCCACAGCACCACTTCCAGCTTTTTCTGCTTATGTGGTGCTGAGGAATTGAACCCAGGGCCTCATGCATGTAAGGCAAGCACTCTACCACTGAGCTACCTTCCCAGCTCCCACATAAGTACTTTTGGTCTCACTCTTCCCGATTTCTTTCTTTCTTGTTTTCTTTTGTGCTACTACTAGGGCTTGAACTCAGGGGCTGGGTATTCTGCCTGAGCTTTTTTCACTAAAGGCTCCACCACTTGAATACTCTACCACTTGAGTGCTCTATCACTTAGGCTACAGCTCTGTATCTGGCATTTTGCTAATTAATTGGAGATGTCAGTCTAATTGATCTTCCTACCCTAACTGGCTTCAAATCATGATCCTCAGATCTCAGCTTACTGAGTAGTTAGGATTACAGGGATGAGATTTCTTGAGAAATAAATTGTGTCCTGAAACAGACACAATAAGGGACCATGTCTTAAATAGTAATGGCAAAGCATCACGAAATTATTGGCACGGATAACTACTATCTAATAAAGTTTATTAGACAGTAGTTTTCATTCCACGCCCTCCCCCTATCACTTTAAGCCATAACTATTAATTGCCAGTTTGGACACTTAGTATCTCATTTAACAGACTTTAAAGTCAGTTGACCATTGTCTGAATCACTGCAAACCATGGAGAAACATTAAAAAGACAGAGAAAAGAGGTGACAAGTGTCACATTGTAGCCACTTGCAATAATATTGGAAAGAAATTATAAATTAGAGAAAATTTAATACAGTGATCACAGATCAAAAATGAATATTGATGATAAGGTAGAGCCCTGAATCAAAGAATGTGAGTCAGATTTACAATGAGAAAGTAATACAGGATGCTGTGAAGTGAGAAGAAGCATTAGAGATAAGAAAAACACAAGTTAAAAGCCAGTGACAACAAGCCAATGAGCTTCCGCGGTTGAAACTGAGGAAGGAAAGGAAAGAAGAGATAGAATGTTGATTGGCAGAGGTCCCCAGGGACCAGTGGGAGCATTGTATCTTGGTTTAAAATAGCACAGCACTATTCTTGAGGAGTTTGGTGAAAGATAAAAATCAATAGATGAGAAAAAAACTATTTTAACAGCAATAACTTAAAAAAACTACAGGAAGGATTATCTGTTGGCTTATTGGAGGGTTGGGGTATGATTTTGCAACTGAGAAGCAAGAAAAAGGATTATATTTTTTAACAACACTTTTGTTACAAAACCAGCAGACATCATCATGAGGTCTGGAAAAGAAGGCAAAGTAATATGTATTAGGAGGATAAGGAACACTAGGGCTTGAACTGTAGACCTTGCAGTTGCTAGTCAGGTTCTCTTACCACAGAGCCACATCCTTAGGCCAATGTTTTTTCTGGTTATTTTTTAAATAAAGCCTAGCTTCCTTCCCTAGGTATATAACTGGCACTATTTGCCTATGTTAAGCTTCCTAGCATGGTTAGGACAATAGGCATATGTTAACCAATCCAGTTTTCTATTGAGAAGGGGTCTCACAGACTTTTTGATCTGGTTTGGCCTTGAACCACAATCTCCCAGGTTCAGCCTTCCCAGTAGCTAGAAGTATAGGTATAACTCACCAGTACCAGGAAACTTCAAGATTCTTGATGTCAACAAATTAAAGTGATCGTAATACTACTGGCACGAATGGCAAAGGAATGAGAATAGGAAATGTGAAGTAACCTATTGGATTCAAATATGAAATTTCAGGGCAGGTTCATACTTCAGTGGGCATCAGACTCACCTGGAAGCCATGTTAAAACACAGACCAAAGGCCTTCAGCCCCAAAGCTTTTGCTTCAAAAGATCCAAGGTGGCTAGGGCCCAAGTTAGATCCCATGGGTAACTAACATTGGTGAAGATGACAAATGACATAAATATAGGACTTACCCATCCTCAGGTCATTACTGAAGCTCTCTTGTGAAAATTGCCAAGTGACAATACAATCATTTTCATACTTCCTCACATCCACCTAGTTCCTTAATTATAATGCTAGCATTAAAATGTGATAAATGTTCAGTCTCTGGCAGGTGGAATAGTGGGACTGAAAGTTTATGAAATGAAAACATTCTGAAAACAAAGAGGGAGTTTATAAGGGAAGAGCAGAGCCTAGCTTTTGAAGGAAGCCACAAGGAAAGAGATTCTGGAGGGAATTGCAATTAAGCATTTTGTGGGTGTGGGGAAAAAAGACCGCTAGGTAATTGTCAACTGATTCTAGAAATTTCCTCTCACTCTCTGTGAAGAAGCAGGGGGAATAAAGGTGGAAAGTTAAAAAGAGAAGTTAATAAGTCTACTTTGTATTTTAATTATTGTCAAGTACCCAGGTGCTTAAGTGAAGAGTTTCATGTACATATAAATTACTTCGGTGCCCTAGTATATTTGTAGAAATCTAAATGAGATGTTGTTCCATTTAAAATTTAAATAATTCCCTTGAGAAAATGCCAAGCAGATTGCTTCGTCTAAAAGCCAATGCATAAACATGTATTTGTTATTTACGTGTTAATACGCTCAGTATCTTGATGAATATTTTTAAAGATATAACCTGAAATCCTCTGTAATATGATTTGCTGACCCCCAAATTCCTGTTTCAAAAACCTAAACAAACAACACTGTGCCCAATATAGAATACATGATTTACCCAAAGTCTTTTTCTCCTTTCAGAAACAATGGCTACAAAGCGCAATATTCTATTGTTACAGAAGAGTTCAGATGTGCCTCAGCTTGCACTTTTCACCAAATTCAACCCCACGGAGGCAACTTCTTGTAAAGGTGACTCAGTGGGAAGTTCGCCTGGGACTCCAGAATGCTAGAGACGATTAGGGGATGAACTTGGCTTTGTTCCAGAGGCTCGTGCTGATTGGCTCAGCTTGGGCTTTGGCAAAGCAGTTTCTGGCAGAGACATGCAGTCGTTTCACATTCTCTATATTCTGATTGGGACTTACTTCTTACAATCAGCATTTAAAGTTAAAATGAGAGAGAAGAAAAATGATCTTTAATATTTTGAAAATGCACAACTTCCATTCAGTGCCAGAAGAAGGGGAAAAAATGACCCCCATATAGATTTGTATGTGTGTATGTGTCTGTGTGTGCTAAAAAAAAATGCTCCTAGAATTTCTTGGACATAAAATTGTTTTTTGCAAACAACAATATGATGAGTTAAGAGTGAATGAATCAGAAACATACGGATTAAATTTTCCCTGAAATGTGCATGGA